AATTTCCTCCCAGGTCTTAGGTACAAAACTCCTGTTAGCACATTCCAAAATGAAATTTGCTTTCTTTGCAAGAGCAGCATACTGTTGACTTTTTTAGTTTGTAGTCCCCTAAACAACCCCAGTTTTGCAGTATGTATGTACATTGATTGGTACTTTGTTCTGTCATATTGAATGAAATAGTTTGAATGTTTGTAAAGGTTGCCCATTAGCCATTTTCAGGAAGAAGATAGGATTTATCTCCTTATCTAAGTCATTGTTTTTGGAACTACGTGCAAAATGTCCTGACTTCGGTTAAAGTCTTAATTTAAATTTTATCTTTAGAAGTCTTTTACAAAGAGAGCAAATATCCTGAATTCCGAGACATCAAACCCTAGGGCCTTTTGGAAAAATTGATAAGAAAATTTACAGTGATATGGAAGTCTCCCCAAGAGTAATTTAAAATGCTCAACAAAGGCAAAAGAATCTGTTGAGTAAGATCTGAGCCCAAATTTGGGAGTAATGACAAGTTGAGTAGGAGGAGCCCACTGACGGCAGCTCACTCAATAAAAACTGTAATTTACTATCCCAATTTGGAGGTGACTTCACTTGCAGAACAACGAAGGAAGAATCGCAAGTGTAGCCTGGATCAGATTGATCACCTGACCCAACCTCTCCGTGAACACGAATCTCTTAGTTCACGCTGAAGCCGCGGAGCACCTGAAAGGGACTGAAGGAAGGGGACTTAGTCCTATCACTGCTGAGGCCAGCCTATTGAATTGTATTGCTGAGGCGAGCCCATTGAACCGTACTACTGAGGCCAACCCATTAAATCATACTACTGAGGAATGAAACCATATTTTGGTATTTGGCTTCTCGGAATTCTAGGATTGTAAGTATATTATGAAAAATAATAGTATTGATTCAAATTTAACTTTTAGTTGTAATTGTAGTTATTTTTGTAACACTAATTCTTATAACATTGTTTGGGAAGGAAGTGCATTAGGAGCATTGTTTCTGATATATGTAGTTATTGTGTTCTTAATGTTTGTGGTGTTTCTTAAAGCTAAGCAGTGTTATATACGTAGCAAAGAGTTTTAAAATAAAATTGTGTTGTATGAATTAAGTGTGTAATCATTGTGAAATCGTGCAATCAGCTAACTACTCCCCCAGCCAGTGCATCAAAACGAATCAGTAAATTGTGTGGGATTTTCTCTATTCCATAACCCACTAGAGACATGTTCTAGTATCTTTCTGGGTAGCCAAATGAGTATGACAGCTTTATTTTCTCAGGTCCTTTTTTTCTTTTTAAATAAGATAATTATTTCCCCTTTTCTATTGCTCAGAGATTGTCCTCTATCCTCTAGAACAGAGGTTCCCAAACTGTTTCCTATTGCATAACCCCTTCTGGACTGACCAACTGCCTGCAACACCCCTACCAGCATGTTTTACATTTTAACCCGTTAAGTGCCAACTATTATAATGAAAATTAAATCCACCATTACACAATTTCTCCTGTGTATACCCCCCTAGACCGTTTTGTGTACCTCCAGGGGTATGCATACCACAGTTTGGGAATCCCTGCTGTAGAATATTTTGGTTCTGCTTCAACTCTGTGAGGGTGAAGCATCTCCCTAAACAAATACGCCTCCTACTGCTGGGATGTGAAGTTGAGGCATAAGCCTAAAGGAAGAAAGGAGTTCCTACTAGTTAAAGTGAGTGCTTCTAGATGTGAATATTCAGTTTGGGGCTCATAAACCACTGATTTCTTCCTGAAAACTTTTCTTACAGTGGTCTAGAAGCAGCTTCACAAGGTTGGAGATGATGTTGAGATAATATATATGGTCTATGAGCATTATGTGGTGGCTTTCAGCAAAGCTGCAGAGGGTAGTATGTAACAAAGCTCTAAATCCTGCCGGTACTAGGTTAGGTGCTAGAGCTCATCATGCAGACCAGACACAATTTCCCTTCCCTTAAACTCTAGATTCAACCAACTCCAGATAAGTTACAGTGAGAACCAGGACAGAAGAGGCTGGAGTAAAACACACTGCAGTGCAAGATGCATGCTGTGAGAAAAGAACGGAATTGAAGACTGTTACCAAGAAAAAGCAGTGAGTCGGAATCTTGCTTAACAGACAGCTACAATACTAATGCATTAGTAACACTATTAGTAATAATGAGTTCTTGCTGGCTTACCCAACTTTATGGTCTTGTTACCTCAGAAAGTGTTATTTTGTGCAATAGACTCTGTGCGCATGAGTTGTCTGTCTGTCTGTCTGTCTGTCGATGCTGGCACTTAGGGATTAGCTGGGAGGATCTATTTAGGAACAGTCATACTTTGAGCACACAGTTGTCAGATTAGATCAGTGGTTCTCAACCTCTTTTGGACCAGGACCCATTTATAAACATCAAAAGCCAGTCCCAACTCTCCCAGTGTGTGGGGCAGGGGTGGGGGGTCCGAAGCAGCCCCATGCAGACTGGAACTCTGCCAGCCTGCAAGGGAAAAGCCAAAGTTTCCCTAAGTTTCCTCCTTTAAAGAAAATCAATTTTTAAAGTTTGATTGCAACCCTTTCATATATTTTTGCGACCCACAGTTTGAAAAATGCTGGCCTCGACCTCCTGAGGTTCCTTCCAGCCCTAACTTTTATGGTTTTATGATTGTGCCACTGTTCATTGTCAAAGGAACTACAAGCATTTGTATCTTAATCCTGCTTCTGACAATGTGGCAGAAAAGTTGCACTCAAAACAGTTAACCATTTAAGCAGTTGCTGTAGTTGCTATGGCAATAGTATATGATCAGGAATGGGAAGGGATACATGACATCAGGAAAAGATCCACTTGCATGGATCTAGGATTTTGAAGAGTGGTGTGCAGATGGTCTAGTGCATTATCCCATATAACACATTATTTATTTTTCTCCATGTAAAAAAGCTAGATGCTTTAATAATATGCTAGAGTCTGAGGACTCTGGTATTTTCAGTTTAATGTAGAAGGAAAAACAAATGCATCTTACTTGGAATAAGTTAACAGCCTGCAGGCGCATGACATAAGCACTATGGCTGATGATGGACATGAAAAAAAAACAACAAAAAAAGCACTTGACCAGAAGAGGAAGTGTGTTCATTGGATCCCATCTCCCCAGCATCTGTATAGATGGCATGGTTCAGCCAGGGCTTTTTGGCACTTCTACATAAAGCTGATTCAATCAGCTGTTAAATAAATGACAAAAACCATTACTGAAGTGGGTGATCTATTACAGATGTTGGGCAAGTGGGGTCCAGCTACCTTGATGCCTCTACTGGGCACATGCTGTGCTTGGCTGGAAGTGAAGAGCTATTTTTTGTTGTTTTTTGTTTCATATGTCTGTAAAGCAGCCTCTGTTCCCATCCAACAGAATTGCAGAATAAAGGCTAGCTTGCTTAGTCAAACCTGTAGATCATTGACCTGGTGAGGCTTGTTAGTGCTTGCAAGAGGGAGAAGGGATCAGGTACAGGCAGCCCTCAGACTTCCGACACAATTGGTTGCTGAGAATCGTGTCTTAAGTCGAAACGTTGCAACTTGGAACAGATTTTTCCCATAGGAAGCAATGTTATAAATGGGGGATTGGTTCCTGAACCAAGGCCCGATACCCTATTTTCACCAAAAATACCCCAGAATTTTGTACTCAATCAATTATAGATGACTAATATAGCTACATTAATGTATTTATATTGTAAATAGCGATCATATTGATTTGGAAGGACTTGTTTGAGGTGACTTGGCTGGATTTTTTGAAGGGCTCCTGGTTGGACTTTTTGAAGGGTTGGCTAGAGTCTTCTCAGGAGTCTTGGCTGCAGGTTTTTCTGGAGTCTTGTCTGCTTTCTTAAAGAAAGTGTTCAAGGAAGTTTGGATAGATGGGAGATGGGCGACGCAGCAAAGTTGTTTGCTGACGTGGTGTGGCGTCGGATCAAGCGTTGTAAAGTCAAAACTGACGTCAGAAAGTTGAAACGGTGTCAATTTATAAACATTCTAAGTGCAAAACATTGTAACTCGAAATGTTGTAAGTCCAGGACTGCCTGTACATGATAACGAGCCATGCAGTCCATTGATTTCCTCAACACTCGGAGACTATAAATGCTGATTTTTAAGCTTGGGGGGGGTGCGAGTGTATCTATGTATCCACCCCCCTGCCCCTATCCTTTCCATCTGAACCAGCTACTCTCTAAGATTCTGCCCTGCCTCACCTTCTGTTCCATGGGATGTGATCCCCACAAGAATTTATTTATTTTTATATTTTGGAGCCCCAGGGGTTCAAGCTCATTCACTTTCCTAGGCTGCACCATTCAGAAGCCTTTCTCCCTGCTTATTGTGCAACCCTTCCAGGCAGATGGCCTTGTCCCTCTCATGTTCATCATCCCCCTTGAGGAAGAAGGCTGAAATTGGCTCCTTCCTCCTGCTTCTTTTTTCAAAGCTAATCTTTCCTCACCGAGAGGTGGATAGTAATGAAGTAAGCATGCTGCAGGGTTGGAATTTCCTATTTGCCTCATAATCACATCTCCGCTCCTCTTTCAGAGGTGCTGTATTTGCTTGCTGGTATTATTTTATTTTCTTAGTAGTGAATAGACTTTTTCTGATAAGGTTGTATGTCTTTAGTATGCCTACTTCCTTACTAATGGCCTTTAAGGTTAGCTCTGAGGAAGGAGCCAGCATCAGGGAATAGGGCAACCCCCTTCTGCCTGCTCTCTGAGGATGGCTCCGGCGCCAGCTGCCCGAGCTGCTGCAGCCCTGCCCGGAGATGGACTAGAGCAGGCTGCCGGAGCTTCACCCCGCGCTGCGGGCTGGCGGTGGAGGTGGAGCTCGCCCGGTTTCCTGCCGCCACGCTCGCCCCTCCCCGGGGCGGGGCAGGGCAAAGCAAGGCAAGGTTGAGCCAAGCCGGCTCCTACTCCCCGCAGGTGGACGCCCGCGAGGTTGCGCTCCGGCGGCGTTTCTCGTCTCATCCGGCCTCCTGCTCCGCGTCCCCCCGCCGCCCGCCCGCGGCCGCGGGGATGAGCCTGCCGGTGCTGGCGCGGGAGCTGTCCCACTACCTGGACAGCCGCGTGCGGGGCGGGCTGGCCGGCTCCGGCATGGGCTGGTCGCTGGTGCTGGGCTTCGGCGTGGCGTACGCCGCTTGCTACCTCAGCAGCATCGCCAAGGTGAGTGGTGGGGGCAGCGCGGGCGCAGGGGGCGCCGGCGCCTCTGCAGCCCTGTCCGGCCCCGCGCCCTTGGGGGCGGCCGGCCCTGCGCGCTCTTCCCCGCCCTTGGCAGCCGGGGCGGGGGGTTTCCGGGGTTGGTCCCAGCAGAGACGCCTCCTGGCCTCCGCTTCACACGCACGCAGACACTTCTTCACCGTCTTAGACAGACACTCACGCTCTCTTACTCATCTTCTTACACACTCTTCCACACACACACACACACACACACACACACACACTCTTCCTCACCTTCTCACACACTTACACATGCATGAGCTAGTCTCACACCTCCTCCTACATGTGCATGCACTTTTCTTGCATGTGCGCGCACACACACACACACACATCATTCTTCCACACTCTCTCTCATCCCCAGCCCCACACATGCACACACCATTTGTGCACACAACACCATTCTTCCACAAACACGGGCTGTTCTCTCACCCCCCCACATGCATGCACTATTCTTGCACATGCATGCACACACAGATCATTCTTACACACACACGGGCCAGTCTCATAGGCATGCACACACCCACACGTGCACACACCATTCATGCACATAGACACACACACACACATACATAGGCATCATTCTTACACAAGCAGGGGCCATTCTCTCGCACCCCCACCATACATGCACACACCATTCTTACACATTCACACACACAGGCATCATTCTTATGTGCATTCATGCACACCATTTTTATACACTCACGGACTGTTTCTCACCCACATGCACACACCATTCTTGCACATGCACACACAGGCATAATTCATACATGTGTTGTTGGTTGTAGCTGTGTTGGTCTAAGGTCATAGGCAGACAAGGTTCCTTGGGTAGATGTGATACATTTTATTTGACCACCTAAATAGTTGGAAAAATGTGTTCTTTGAAGGGTGTTTGTGCCTGAACACTTGTAAAGAACAATTTTCCAATTCTTCAGTTGGTCTAATAAAAGATATCACATCTACCCAAAGAAACTTGTCATTCTTACATGCACATTTACACACATACAGCATTCTTACACATGTACAGGCCATTCTCTCTCACACGGACACGCATATTCACACACCATTCTTGTGCATACCTATGCACACACAGGCATCATTCTTATGTGCATGTGCAGCCATCATTCCTACACACACACACACGCCATTCTTACACATGGGCCATTCTCTTCTCATCTCCCCCCACACGCACTGTTCTTGCACACACACATACACACATACATGCACCATTCTTACATTTCTATTTCCTTACACACACAACTGATGTACTGCAACCCTTTTTTTCTTGCTCTGAGGTTTCTAACATCTTACTTTGATGTGTTCAGATTGGAGGACGGGGATTTGACCTCAGCACATCCTTTTAATGCCCTTGCTTCAGGAGACACAACTTGGGCAAAAGGAGCCATTTGGGAAGGGGAATTCTCTCTCATCTCCATTCTTGACTTCTAAGCATCTACTAAGGTTACAGTCAAGGGAAATAGCTCTCGCAGCCTTTCCTTCTATATATATATATATATATATTTCTGCCCTCTGAATTAGCATCAAATAAATATATTCGGTCTTACTGATTTATGTTGCAGGGCTTTCCTAATTTTTCCTTTTGTGATTTGTTTTAAATGTGAGGGTTGTCTGGAGGGGGAGAGAGGAAGTATTGGTGGGTTTTAGGGGAACAACCAAGGCCCCTCTGTGGAGCAGGGGGCTGCAGGATTGAGAGGGACCTTGAGGAGGGATGGAAGGGATGTCCCCCTGGGAGAGAGACATGGAAGTGGGTGGACATGGGGAAGAAGGAAAGTGAGCAGAGGTTTTCTAGAAGTGAATGAGTGCTGGAAAACTTGGTTGGGATGTGAGAGAGCATTTGATGTCCTGGGTGAGAATGGGGGAAGCAGAAGTGGGTGGGGTGGGTGGAGTTTGAAAGTCCTGGGGTGTCATTTAGGGAATCTGTTGCTTTATACCATGTGGGTGGTTCTGTCTCTTATCCTGCCCTGAGCCTTCTTGGGGAGGGTGGCATATAAATGCAATGAATAAAATAAGTATACATCTCAGGTGCTTTTCTCTGTTTCCCTGTCTGTAATAACATTACAAATAAATCCAGGACTTGGAAATAATTTGGATACAGTGAGTCAGCACCACCTCTGGTGGAAATGGGTTTCACGGAACTTCCAATTAACACGAGGCTCGGGCTCAATATTTTGTCAGTTGACAGTGTACAGGAAATAGTATGTTTTGATTACTGGGAACTTACACTGATGGTTTCCTGTCAGATATGGTTTTGTTGCTGTCTATATCTTAGGCTGTGTTTAGCAGTTTTCAGATAATTTGTTGTGGCACTGCCTGTGCTGGGGTGCAGCGTCAGAATGGTTATACTGTCGCTCCAGAGATTTGAGCTCAAACATTTTTCAAGATGGGTGCTGAACTCTGTCCCAGTCAGCCCAGCTGTAAATGGGTACTGAGTCATTTCATGTTGTGATGTCAAAGGTGGCTGGATGCAATGCTTGCTATGGCACTCCCTGATGTGCTTTTGGCTATAAAAACTAGCATGCTGTAACCATGTTAGCCCAACTGTTTGGCTTGGTGGACCTTTGACTACTTTTGTCCTGACTCTGTGGCTAGCTAGCCTGGGAAAGCTAATACAGAGATCTAGCTACTACGGTGAGTAGGATAGAGTTAGTAGGCCTGCTAGACCACAGTTGAGGGTATATACAGTATGACATTAAAAAATGCTAGTGAAGATACGACTTTAGGTTTCTTGTATGATGGGCTTATTGATTAAACTCTGTGGGTTCCCATCTGTGAAACAGGTATAATCTACATCTTACCCCTCATGTTTGTTTTGGGTCTTAATTCATAGATATAACGTGATCCAGCCTTGGATGGAAGATGCTTACAGTTCCAATGTATTTTTCATTAGAGCACAAACAGTACTTTAACAGCATATTTTAAAAATATACCAGAAATCTATTTTGTTTAGAATCAATAGTGTTTTTTTGCTTTTCCCTTGGAGCTTTGTTTGCTTTTGATTTTAAATTACTTTCATTTCTACTTTAAAGAAATAAGCCATTACTAGTACAGAAATACCTAAAAGCAATTAGCGTGTGGGAAGAGAATGCAACAGGCTAGCCTTTTTTGTTTGTGGGTTCTGAATACCTGACCACACTTTCTCTTTTTAGAAACCTCAGCTAGTGGCTGGCAGTAAGAGTTTCTGCTGCTTTCTCAAGAAATATTGTCCTGTTGTAACAGAAACTTACTACCCTACAATCTGGTGCTGGGAGGGCCGGACACAGACACTTCTGCGCCCCTTCATCACCTCCAAACCTCAGGTGCAATATAGGAAGTAAGTGCCTCTCTCCTGCAAAGATACCAGTCTTCTGCATATTACCTTGAATGTGGGCATGCATTACTTTGAAAGTGTAATAAGTACTTTAGGTAATACCAGTATTCAGATACTATACTGTCACCTTTACAACTTGCAGGATCTAATGCCCACCTAGAAACAAATTCAGCCTCTTGTGCCACAAGGTAGGTTTTGATATTGCAGCAGAGATGGTTACAGCAGTAAGCTCATATTACTGAAGCCTAGATTAGTGGTGCTTAATGGGCACCATAATTTGGGGGGGACATATTAACACTTTTTTTTCTCCCAGTTGAAGTCTTTAGTATTCCTTTAGTCCTATTGCAGCAAATTTAGTCCTGTTCAGCCCGATTCCTAGGCTAAATCTTGCTATCATAGTTTATCTTTTGTTCTTGGATGCCTGAATTAGGACAGGAATAGGCATTTATATTTATTTCTCTTTAATAATTGCAATCGCATGCAAGGCCTCAGGCACAGAACCTGAAGGGGTGGGGAGTGATTTTATACCACCTTTTCATCTTCCTTGTCCATGGGGTCAACAGAAGACAGTTCAGGCTCTTGGGCAATATAAGGTAGATCCAACATACAGTATCTTCTATGGGGGTGTTTATCAGTACATAGTAATAGGGTTTATCAGTATACAGTAATGCTCTAGTCATGCCCCTTTGTCTGGATCTACAACATTGCCTGGCTTCTAGGGGTTGAAAAGAAAGAGGCATAGATCAGACAATGCTGACTTTGCACCAAATGTAGGTTCTTAATACCGAAAGAATTCTTTACTGGCCACTCACACCAGCTTTAAATCTGCTTCACACTGATGAAACAGTGCAAAGCTGGTTGAACAAGGCTAAGGATTTGGCTAGTACACTTAAAAATATGCTTTAGCAGTTGCCATGGGTGTTACATTGATGAGAAATCTTGTATCTCAGATATGCTTTTTCACCGGATGTTCATTCTCAACAATATAGTATTGGTATGATGCATTCTCTTCATTAGAAAGCTGTTCAACATGAGGAAAAATGCAGTACACTTTCAGAACATGTTTTCAGCCCATTTATATGTTTAAACCTTGCTTGGCTTCTGAACATGTTTTGAGTTTGTTGCAGGCTTGAGAGAGAGAGAAGCTTTAAAAAATGCTCCCTAACAAAAATTCCTTGTAGATTTTTCATGCCAAAATCCTGCCTTCACAACTTTTTACTTAAAGTAGTTATAGCTTTATATGCATGTGTGTGCATGATATAACTTCTGTCAGACGATACTCCACCCAAGAAATACTAATTATTTTCTTCTGGAAAAAGAGAACATGTATGTGCGAGAGGCTTAGGTTGTTTAATGCACTACCAGAAGACACAAATGCTACAGCAATGATGGTGTAACAAAGACGCTTATAGAATGGCAGGTAAAACTCCTATGAACTTCATTACGCCAGCACCCTGCAAGAAACTGAGAGAGCCAGCTCTTCATATGGTGCAGACTGAAATAGTGGTGCTGAGTAGCTATGAAGACTAAAGCTGCTGAAGGCCTCTACCCCATTATGAATTAGAAATTTACAAATAAGTGTGTTATGTCAGACTTTAATATTAACGTCAAATTAAGGATATAATTTTTTTGTGTGGTAATTGGTAATGACTCAATGGTATGCCTTTTTTAATTTTTTTTGAATAAAGCTAATCGGTGTTGTCTTCTGAACTGTGTATTTCAGCGAGCTTATTAAAACAACAGATGGAGGACAAATTTCACTAGATTGGTTTGATAATAATGACAGTGTACATTATCCGGATGACAGTACAAGACCCACAATCTTGGTATTGCCTGGCCTTACAGGAACAAGTAAAGAATCCTACGTTCTTCATATGATCCAACAGAGTGAAAAATTGGGATATAGGTAATCTTGTGTATATACAGTTTGCTTGTTCAACTAAGATTAAATGTAGGTATATGTTGTCTATCTAAAGCAAATGATATATAGAGAAATCCGTTTACATGGGATAATGCTAGGTAATAAACAAGAATGATATAGCATTGTATTGGTAAGTATATGCAAAATACTAAGCAGGTCTTAAACTCAGTTTGCTCAGTTGTAAATGATTACACAAGATGGTAGGGAATAGGGAATCAGACCTTTAAAGTGCAGTATAAAAGTTTATTGCTGTGTGTCCACATGTCTGTCTCCCGTGTACCTTCCTGCGGAGGACTGTTTAGTGCAGCCCCAAATAAACTAGTGTGGGGAAATCTGTCAGAGGTGGCTAGAAGTATGACAGGGTAAGGACTAGAGACTTGGATCCAGTGGCTAAAAACCCCTGTGTACCATGTGGCAAGGGATGACATTGTACACCTACTGCTGATGACTTTTGGGTAGATCTGTCAGTCTTAACATGCTTCATGCACAGGCAGATTACTCAGAGTTAGGATCACAGTTGGTAAGGGAAGTGAATTGCTCCATGAGTACAGCTTCTAGATGTTATAAGTTTGTTACAGTTCTGTTTTAGAATATAATATCATACTGTGGTTACTCCAGTATCGTATTCCGAGTCCTACCGTTGTACCCTGAGTTTTGGCAGTGAATGTGTTGAGTTTTGTAAATATGTACATGAATGTTCATGTTTGAGTCTTTGTTGTCCACTTGGAAATGCTGAAACCTGCTATAATAGATACTTGATTTTATTGCCACCTAATACCATTTTTACACGTATTCATGACAGATATGTATACGTATCACCTGATACTGGAACGTGTAACTATAAAATGAGTTTGGGATCAAGTTTTTTGTTCTTGCTTTCATAGAGTATACATATCACCTTATATCCCACCCTATTTTGGGTAGAAAGTTAATTCCTTATATGGCACCTACTTATTTTAAGTCATATTACAATAGAATGGCATAAACTTAATTCACTTTAAATTACAACGCTTATTAAATTAAAAGAGTGAAATTCATCTTTTTTGCATTTAATCTGATTTTTAAACTAACAATTTTTATGTTAACAAAACACTTCTTCTTGTACAGTTGTGGAGCAGGCAATAAACAGAAAACCCCAAAAAACCTTACCCAAAGATTCTTAAATCAAGATAATTCCTATTATAAGGAACTTCATACACTCTTGCTAAGATTAAATAAAAGGGATCCATTTTGGCATGGGTTGAAAACTCTCCTTCTGCTCTCCCTACCTGTTTGAAAATATAGGATACATGAATCTGTGGTTTTTGTTTTGGCTCATCTCTGCTGCTTAATAAAGATTATATATACTTGAACCTCTATGCACACAAATCAGATTGCAAGATCAGACTCTTGTGCATAAAAAAGAGTCCCAGTGAGTTCTCTGGACTCCAAGCAGGCATATGGGTCAATTTTAGGATGAGGACCATAAATATCTCCAGTAGATAACTTAGGTTTTCTACTGATTCACTTATTTTCTGTAGTTTCATTTGAATTATGTTCAAATTACCTTTTTTAGATAAATGAGTAACAAAGAGGGCTGTTAGATACTTGTGTGCATCAATGTACCTATTCAATTTACCTTCTCAATTTTTAGATGTGTGGTTTTTAACAATCGAGGAACTGCTGGAGAGGATCTCTTGGTAAGGATTACTTTTAAAATCAAGATGAACTTTCACTATAAGCAGTACATATTGAAACTATCAGTATTGACCCACAGGGCTGGAGTCTAGTCTTAGAGAGACAAATCTCATGTGGTATGTTACCAAATGAATGGAATAGAATGTAGGCTGTAGCTGGCTGCCTGCACATCTTTAAGTTAATACAGTATATTTATTTAAAATTGAATAGCACTCATCCCAATCTGTTAACTTCAGTTCGGTTGACAAATTTCAAGGAATAAGTTGAAATATATTTGGTCAAAGACCCATTGAAATTCATGGAAAGATTTACATTGACTTCAGGATCAGGTGCTTAGTTCATGATTTTATTTTACATCTTCACCCCTTTCTTATAAAAATATGATTTCCTTATCTGATAGTGACTTGTGTGATCTCCTTGTTCTGCAATAGGCATCTAAAGTTCAGAAATCATATGGTCACTTTCTGAACCTTATCACTACTAAAGATATACTGTAAAAACTTGATGTTGTTGTTGTTGTTGTTTTTTTCCCCTGAAGAATTGTCCCTGAGTTTTGCAGCAATAAATGTACTGTTATCTGTACAGTACAAGTGTAGCGAGTTAAATGGCATTTTCATTTTATAAGATGTTGCATAATTTATTTCTAGCAAAATACATAATTTTTATAAGGAAAATACAAAAGATCATAATTCTTCAAATATGTATATTAAATTTGTCCAGTGCAGTTTTTCTCTCTTGACTTAAAAGTCAGTCTGAGCTGCATTAACTATTTTAAATGAAATTTGTTGGCATAAATTTAAACCAACCTGAATATAATAATAATAAAAAGCTTTACAATTAACTGACTGATCCACTGTTATATACATGATTGTATGAATGAACCTGATTTATATGGATTGTGATTTAATTTTTTTCCTGAACAGCTACAACATATGATGGGCTACTAGCAAAAGTTATTTTGTATAGAATTTACATAGCACATTAGCTTACAAATTAGTGACAGCTCCATAAATTACTCAGATCTCAAAGCTAAGCATTTTCTGCAGCTTGGCACAAGATGTGATTAAAATATTGCCGAATAAGCTTTGTTTCTTTATATACATTTTGTTGATGCTTCTGCAGCTGTTATAGAAGTACATAATACTGTCTATTGTTCATTTTTGCATTTTTAATCCACTGATATCAAACAATTTAAAATGCTCATAATGCGGTCTCTCAATCAATTCAAATGTTTCAGTGCAAACACTGCCATGTTAAATGTCAATTTTCTGCATACTTCTGGAGATATAGGTACAAAGCAGTTTTGTGATAAACAAAGTCCTTATTGATAAATTTCAGATTCAGTAAGTGAAAAGACTTCTTGTTTGGATGTATTGTGTGTATTTCAGTGTAATCAGATTTAAATCTTTGAGCATTATAAGAACTTAGTGTGAACTGAAACAGCTAAAGTTATAATAACATTTGCTGCAGGGGGCTTTCTACATATTAATATAAACTCCCTACTTAATGAGTTTGAGGCATAGTCAAGCAACGTGGTAAAGGCAGTCAAGCAGCTCATTCTTGTTCTGGTCTTTATAGAGAGATTTAACTTTAAATTACTATTTAAAGTATGAAGTATGAAAAGCTATTGTACTTGCATTTGAGTAATAGTCAATGATGTATAACTGAAAAAAATATTTTTCTAGAATGGTCACATTCTAGATGAGTATAATTTAATTTCAGCCAAGCCATGTATACCTTTCTTGAACACTGTTTAAAAATAACTTCATCTAGCAAGTGGAAATCCAGTAGAGTTACAGGAATTAACTGTAAAATAAATGTATTGTGCTTCTGTTTTTGCAAAATATAACTCTTTTCTCTGGGACAACATCATACCTGCCTTACTGAAATCATTTACTTTTCTCCTATATTTAATTAAAATAATAAAAGTGTGAATGAAAATTGTAAGTAGCATAAAAGGAACAAATTAGATTGGAAAAAAGCTTCAGCTTCATTTATCCCACTCTTAGCTTTTTAATCTTTATCTTCTATTTTAATATTTTCATTTTCCTGATAAGTAAATTTGTATCGGTTGGTTTGGTATACTAATGACCCTCATTTTTAAACATTTTTTTTTTTTTTAAAAGTTGAAAAACATTGTTTTATCATGCATTTGGGACAATAAATGAGCAAAGGACAAATATTACAACTAAAATTCAGGAAAGGCCAGGTCCAACTCACAGTAGAAGCAATGGGATTCTTTCTAGGCTGTATTCAGAAATTGAAGGGATACTGGAAGTTAAGTTGTGCTTAAGCGCTGTCCTGAATAAGAATAGACAATATGCATGCTTAAGTGCTTTCCTCAGTCAGAGCTTTAATTGATGCATCTTTCATCTAGATGCCTGTCAGTATAATCAGCTTTAAGTATTTTTGTATTAAGTGTCTGCAACTAAGTAAAATATAAAAAGCCATTATGTTTTCTTCAGGGTGTTTTCTACTCTAACTTAGAACTAAAAAATAGAAATAGATCATCGTAATAGCATTAACACTAAAGTTATTTAAAACCAGGAATTTTGCAGTAATTAAATACTGACTAGTTTTGAAATCTGTATTTACAGAAAACTTTAAGGCATCTTACAACTCTTTGTAGATAATGTTCGTATTTAGATTAATGCAGACTTCATGACATGCTTTGTTTCCTTAGGGGTTTTAACTTGCATTGATTCCCATAATTTGAATAAGTTTCAACCAAAACCTGCATGTTCAGAAGCTGTCTAGTTAATGTTTTGACAGTTGCAAATATTGAGCATACTAGTCAGTTGTTATTAAGCATGCTTAATAATATAACTCCTTCCTCTACCTCCCCTGATATTATTCCAGTTTATGGTTTTATCTTGGCTATTATTCAGTGAGAAATGTTAAGTTAATTTAAATGTTTAAATTGGTTAATTTAAACCACTCAGCTCATACTTCAACATGAAAAGTGATGCAAATGCTTGAGATAGTGTTTTCCCTTGTGGCTCTTTACAGACACCAAGGACTTATTGTGCTGCTAACACAGAGGATTTGGAAGCTGTGATTCATCATGTACACAACTTGCATGCTTCAGCTCCACTTCTGGCAGCAGGTGTTTCTATGGGAGGGTAAGAAATTACATAACAGAAATCCCTATAGCTTAGCTTAGCAATTGCAAAATAAGTGTTGCTGCTTGACTGTCATTTAGTGTAGTGTAACATTTCCTGAAGTTAAATGGAATCATTAATATGCTAAAGAAAATCTAAGTTTCTAATTATGGGTTCTGTTCAATGGGATTTAGTTTCAGTGAGTACCCATCAGCACAACTTTAACCAAATTTCCTTTTTCAAACTAAGCTCAGAAAAACTCACAATATGTTTTTGAGTTACAGATGCAAACAAATTAGTAAAAGTAAGTAAATTAGATTAGTCGCACTTAAAATCTTCATCAGCCTAAAACGAGTTGGACAGAATTTCTGACCAAACAGTTTTTACAGTCAGTGGTCACCAAAAGGGCATAAAATTAAACTCCTCATTTAACCTTAACTATGGGGTTACTATTTTTCATTTTCATTTAACTGATTTACCAGATTAGGTCATTTGAAAATTTGGATATTAGTGATACCTGTCAAACAGAAAAATTTGCAATTGCATTACTAACATGAATGGAGGGGAGCAGAACCTATCAAAAACAAACAGGTTTAGGAAAAGGAAGAAGCAAAATGTTATTTTTCCCTTATCTGCCTATTATAATATACCTGCTGTACTTAAAAAGTGGAAATATTTCCCCCCAAACTCAAAATCTGGGGCCTGATGATGATTGCATTTCCATTTGTCACTAATGTACTTGTACAGCAGAAAGATGGTACTGCAAGTTAGTGGTAGAATAGGGTATAAAGGCAGCGACTAAGCCCTGGGGTCTTTGGGTACAATGTTGTCTTCCAAGGATAAGCTGACTGCTGTAAATTTATGTTGATTGTTCTTAGTCTAGGACTATAATTGCAGATTAGCACTGTATAGAGGTATTCTGGTGAAATTTTTCTTTGGCAAAGTATAGTAGGTATGTTGGCAGCCATGTGGGTTGCATGAGAACCCCTGTGGTTTCACTAGGCCAAAGGAAGATCATCCTTGTTTTGGCATAAAGCTTGGCTCAGTATTTGCTAAAGTTGAAAGACAAAGCAGTCATGCTTCTTTGGAAGATCAAGTCCACTAACTGTAAGGTCACATGGGGCCAATGACAGTGTGTTTAATAATTAGCATTCTGTTATTTCTATTAAATAGTACACACAATAATTACCCAATGGTATAATGATTTTTTTTTAATCTGATTTTTATCTGATTTGCCATTTTATCTTCTTACTGAATATATTTCACAAAGTGTGTGCTGCTGCTTTTATGAACAGTAGGGCTGGAAGGGACTCCTTGGGTCACTTGAGTCCAGGCTTCTGCAACCACAAGCCACAATATTGCATAATCTTTTATAAATGGATCAAGTTTCACCTCTAAGCTAATTAAGCCTCTTTCCACTACTACTCCTGTTTAGTCTGTTCCAGCACTTCACTGCTTTGATGACTAGGAGCCTTCCTTTAATCTCCAACCTAAATTTATTCTTGGCCAGTTTAGACCCATTTGTTTTCATGTGCCATCGTTGTCCTCTAATTGAAATAATTGTTTTCTATCCCTGATGTTTACTTCTTCCCTGATGCATTCATAATCCTATCTCCGTTTAACTTTCACTTTGCTAGGCCAAACAAGTTAAGCTCTTTTAGTCCTCCTAAAATAAGCTTTCCATTCCCTTATCATTCCAGTCACCTTTCTTTTCAACTGTTCCGGTTTGAATGTATCTTTCTTGAACATAGGTGACCAGGGTTGTACACAAGATTTCAAATGAGGTCTCGCTCCTATTTTGTACGATGACATTAATGATTTCCTATATCTGTTGGAAGTACCTTGACACTGCAACCTAGGATTTTACTTGCCTTTTTCATAGCTACAGCATTTTGGCAGCTCATAACTGTTTTATAGGAGCATGGGAAAGTAGGGCTGGAAGGGACCTCATAGAGTCATCTAGCCAAGCCCCCTGCTCAAAGCAGAATCATCCTCGACTAAACCATCCCTGCCAAGTGTCTGTGTAATCTGCTTCTGAAAAATTCCAAGATTGGAGATTCCACAAATTCTCTAAGTAGCCTGTTCCAATCAATTCCTGACCACCCTCACTGTTAGAAAGTTCCTCCTAATCTCCAACCTGCTGCAGCTTGAGGCCATTGTTTCTAATTATGTCCCCTATAGCCACAGAGAAAAGCAATTCTTCATCCTCTCTATACTTACCCTTCAGATATTTTGAAGACTGTTATTAAAAACCCCTCTCACTCTTCTCTTTTCTAGGCTAAATAATCCTAGTTCTTTCAGCCTTCCCTCATAAGTCTTGTCTCCCAGGTCCCTGATCATTTTTATTGCTCTGTGCTGGGCTCTTTCCAAACTGTCCATGTCCTTGAAATGTGTGGCCCAGAACTCCAGGTGAAGCCTCGCCAGTGCTGAATAGATCGGACCGAATAAGCTTTGTTTCTTTATATACATTTTGTTGATGCTTCTGCAGCTGTTATAGAAGTACATAATACTGTCTATTGTTCATTTTTGCATTTTTAATCCACTGATATCAAACAATTTAAAATGCTCATAATGCGGTCTCTCAATCAATTCAAATGTTTCAGTGCAAACACTGCCATGTTAAATGTCAATTTTCTGCATACTTCTGGAGATATAGGTACAAAGCAGTTTTGTGATAAACAAAGTCCTTATTGATAAATTTCAGATTCAGTAAGTGAAAAGACTTCTTGTTTGGATGTATTGTGTGTATTTCAGTGTAATCAGATTTAAATCTTTGAGCATTATAAGAACTTAGTGTGAACTGAAACAGCTAAAGTTATAATAACATTTGCTGCAGGGGGCTTTCTACATATTAATATAAACTCCCTACTTAATGAGTTTGAGGCATAGTCAAGCAACGTGGTAAAGGCAGTCAAGCAGCTCATTCTTGTTCTGGTCTTTATAGAGAGATTTAACTTTAAATTACTATTTAAAGTATGAAGTATGAAAAGCTATTGTACTTGCATTTGAGTAATAGTCAATGATGTATAACTGAAAAAAATATTTTTCTAGAATGGTCACATTCTAGATGAGTATAATTTAATTTCAGCCAAGCCATGTATACCTTTCTTGAACACTGTTTAAAAATAACTTCATCTAGCAAGTGGAAATCCAGTAGAGTTACAGGAATTAACTGTAAAATAAATGTATTGTGCTTCTGTTTTTGCAAAATATAACTCTTTTCTCTGGGACAACATCATACCTGCCTTACTGAAATCATTTACTTTTCTCCTATATTTAATTAAAATAATAAAAGTGTGAATGAAAATTGTAAGTAGCATAAAAGGAACAAATTAGATTGGAAAAAAGCTTCAGCTTCATTTATCCCACTCTTAGCTTTTTAATCTTTATCTTCTATTTTAATATTTTCATTTTCCTGATAAGTAAATTTGTATCGGTTGGTTTGGTATACTAATGACCCTCATTTTGAAACATTTTTTTTTTTTTTAAAAGTTGAAAAACATTGTTTTATCATGCATTTGGGACAATAAATGAGCAAAGGACAAATATTACAACTAAAATTCAGGAAAGGCCAGGTCCAACTCACAGTAGAAGCAATGGGATTCTTTCTAGGCTGTATTCAGAAATTGAAGGGATACTGGAAGTTAAGTTGTGCTTAAGCGCTGTCCTGAATAAGAATAGACAATATGCATGCTTAAGTGCTTTCCTCAGTCAGAGCTTTAATTGATGCATCTTTCATCTAGATGCCTGTCAGTATAATCAGCTTTAAGTATTTTTGTATTAAGTGTCTGCAACTAAGTAAAATATAAAAAGCCATTATGTTTTCTTCAGGGTGTTTTCTACTCTAACTTAGAACTAAAAAATAGAAATAGATCATCGTAATAGCATTAACACTAAAGTTATTTAAAACCAGGAATTTTGCAGTAATTAAATACTGACTAGTTTTGAAATCTGTATTTACAGAAAACTTTAAGGCATCTTACAACTCTTTGTAGATAATGTTCGTATTTAGATTAATGCAGACTTCATGACATGCTTTGTTTCCTTAGGGGTTTTAACTTGCATTGATTCCCATAATTTGAATAAGTTTCAACCAAAACCTGCATGTTCAGAAGCTGTCTAGTTAATGTTTTGACAGTTGCAAATATTGAGCATACTAGTCAGTTGTTATTAAGCATGCTTAATAATATAACTCCTTCCTCTACCTCCCCTGATATTATTCCAGTTTATGGTTTTATCTTGGCTATTATTCAGTGAGAAATGTTAAGTTAATTTAAATGTTTAAATTGGTTAATTTAAACCACTCAGCTCATACTTCAACATGAAAAGTGATGCAAATGCTTGAGATAGTGTTTTCCCTTGTGGCTCTTTACAGACACCAAGGACTTATTGTGCTGCTAACACAGAGGATTTGGAAGCTGTGATTCATCATGTACACAACTTGCATGCTTCAGCTCCACTTCTGGCAGCAGGTGTTTCTATGGGAGGGGAAGAAATTACATAACAGAAATCCCTATAGCTTAGCTTAGCAATTGCAAAATAAGTGTTGCTGCTTGACTGTCATTTAGTGTAGTGTAACATTTCCTGAAGTTAAATGGAATCATTAATATGCTAAAGAAAATCTAAGTTTCTAATTATGGGTTCTGTTCAATGGGATTTAGTTTCAGTGAGTACCCATCAGCACAACTTTAACCAAATTTCCTTTTTCAAACTAAGCTCAGAAAAACTCACAATATGTTTTTGAGTTACAGATGCAAACAAATTAGTAAAAGTAAGTAAATTAGATTAGTCGCACTTAAAATCTTCATCAGCCTAAAACGAGTTGGACAGAATTTCTGACCAAACAGTTTTTACAGTCAGTGGTCACCAAAAGGGCATAAAATTAAACTCCTCATTTAACCTTAACTATGGGGTTACTATTTTTCATTTTCATTTAACTGATTTACCAGATTAGGTCATTTGAAAATTTGGATATTAGTGATACCTGTCAAACAGAAAAATTTGCAATTGCATTACTAACA